AGTATTTGACATGCGAGAAGATTAGTGTAATGTTTCAATCAAGGAATCTGAACGAATGTTGTCATACTTAATTACCCGCCGATTGCGCTTTGGGTGAGGTCGGCCTCCCTCGAGTTCATTCTCTGGCGGATTTGGGGCTTCTTGATGTTCTCTCCAAGCACGTTGGCGTGGAAGTCGTGGATGGCCTGTATGCGCGCCTCATGGTACAGGTCCTTGAGACAATCTTTGCAGACCGCCTCCTGCACTCGCGCCGCCTAGGCCGCTTTACCCTCCTCGCACGTGAAGAAGTCCTGCACACAGACACATCATGTAGCATTTCCTTTTTGTAAGAAGTCCGACGAATGCGTACTATTTAGCAATGCGGTGCGATGAAAGACTCACCCAAAACTCCCTCTTTATCTTTGCCGCGATGGTCTCGCCACCCTCCTCGACGAGGTAGAAGTGGGACCACTTGGTGGGCACCTTCATCTCGCCGTTGACGTTGACAAGGCCAGGGTAGTACTCCTTAATCAGGAGGCCCTGGATGCCATTGATATGGCGTGCTTGACCTGCTCCACTCACAATCTTCCAGGAACTGCATGAGTCATTAAGAACAATTGTTAGTCTTCAGTTCGATTTTTGACATGTCATATGAACAAGTAGTGAAATCAATAATGGTTACTTACGTCCGCCCACGGTGTGATCACCGGCGCCGGTGGAATTGCGGCCGCACCTAGGAAGCTGCGTGGGCCGCGCGAGTACACCTTAGGCCACGCTGACGAAGTCGGGTTGCCTCGCCTTTGGTGTAGGCGCGCGTCGTCATTGTCGTCGTCGTCGCCGTCGTCGTAAATAAATCGCCGCCGCTTTGTCGTCACACGACGCCGCCCCCCCCTTGCGCGAGGACGAGAACAAAGAGCGTCTGATGCGCTGGCGACGTCCATTGGGGGCTAGGACCCCCTCATTGGACGACCACACACCAACACCTCCTCCTCCTCCTCGTCGTGCGTCGGCGGTCTCCTGCGATATCCGTTTGGACGGAGACGCCCTAACCGGGTAACGCGACCTCTACGACTACATGTGGCGGAAAGAGGGTCATACCGCAGAAAAGCGGTGAAGAAAGGCTAGCTAGGGGAAGGCGATGCCGAGTCGTGTGCTCCTCCGGCTAGCCTCCAATGGGAGCCCTCCGAAAAAAAGAAAAACAATTAGTGAGAACGAAAAATTTGGCAACACTCCCCTGTCACGGAAGGTTACCAAACTCAAAGAAAAAAGAGACACGATGGCCGACAAACACATATACATGTCGTGCACGATGGCCGACAACCACAAATGTATTTCCAATCCATGCGAAAGAATATAAGCGGTATTAACAAAGTAAACTACTACTACTAGTAGTACTACTACCTCGTCGTCACGGACGACGCCACCGGGCGCAGGTGGAGCGGCGCGCGCGCGAGGGACGGCGAGGCGAGGCGAGGAGGGCGCGCGGGCGAGGCGAGGACGGCGAGGCGAGGACGGGCGCGCGCGAGGACGGCGACGCAGGCTAAGCGGACGGCGAAACGGCGCCATGACGGCGGGACGGCGGCCATGGACGGCGGACGGCGGACGGAGCGAGCGCACGCCGGATCGGCGCGGCAGCGACGGCGCCGGGGCGGGCCGGGTCAGCGAGCCGGCAGCCGGCCGACGCCGAGTCAAGACGCCAAGCGCAAGACTGGCCGAGGAGGGGTTCAAGGGGGGGGCCACAGCCGAGGGGCCAAAGGGGGGGGCCATGGGGGGACGCGCTGGGGTGGCCCAACATGGGGGCCACGGGATGGCCACACCACGGGAGGGACCAACATGGGGGCGCACGGGGGGGACAGCACACATGGGAGGGCGCCAAGGCCGCCAGGGGGGGGGGCGCAAGGTCACGGGGAGGAAAGGCAAGGCCGGGAGGAGGAGGAGGGGATCCACGACGGGAGAGAGAGGAGGAGGGCGGGGGGGGAGGCGCGGGGGGATGACATCATGGGCGGGCCGGGCGACGATGTGACGACGGGGGCGGCCTGGTGGCTGGGTGCAAGCGAAGAAGAGCGGGTTATTTGGGGCAAAGGGGGGATTTTGGGAGGGGGGGGCGGGCCGAGCGGATAAAGGCGACGTTTTTTTTTTTTTTTTGCCGATCGCCAAGATGACATGACGCAATTTCGGCAAAGGTCTATTATTTTTTTTTTTTTCAAAATTATTTTTTTAATTTTTTAAAAATACTTTGCCGATCGCTTCTGCTCCCGGCAATCGGCAAAGGTTATTTTTGATTTTTTTCTCGAAAATTCTTTGTTGATCGCCATCCTCCCCGGCGTTTGGCAAAAGGTTTTTGCCAATCGCCATCGATGGCGCTTCGGCAAAAAATTAATTTTTTTTTTTTTCGATCCCAGTTTTTTTGTGTTGCCTTGCTACATGTAAGTACATGATATATTCCAAGTTTGGGGTCATTTTGATTTATTTTGCTATATTCCATTGATTTTTTCTGCTTTTTGATTTTTTCCCCAGCTCAGATTTGAACTGCAGTACATGAAATAATGGAATCCGCCATTCGTAAAATGATATTCATGATGTTTGGAGCATGTTGAGGCCGTCAAAAGGCCTCGCGCGAAATTTCGACCGTGTTGGTGTCGGAACACGCCGAGCCACGCTGCGTGAAAAAATGTTTTTAAATTTTATAAAATCGAAACGGAGTCCGAAAATGACGAAACTTGACGACGTGTCTTGTCATCGCATGCGGAGGCTGTGGTAAAAATTTGAGAAAGTTTCGAGCAAGTGGCGACGTCGGGTGGCTAAAACCTGGACATCTCCACACGGCCTCAACATGCTCCAAACATCATGAATATCATTTTCTGAATGGCCGGATTCCATTATTTCATGTACCGCAGCTCAAATCGAGTCGGGAAAAAATCAAAGAAATGTAAAAAATCTACTAATATAGCAAAATAAATCAAAATGATCCCAAACTTGGAATATATCATGTACTTACTCATCAAGGCAACACAAAAAACTAGGATCGAAAATCAAAAAATAAAAATTCTTTTTTGCCGATTTGCCGGGGAGGATGGCGATTAACAAAGTCTTCGCGCTTTTGCCGATCACTGACGGAGTGGCGATCGGCAAAGGTGACGGTGGATGGCGTCAACCATGGCACCGCCTTTTGCCGATCGCAATTCTTTGCCAACTGGTGGCGATCGGCAAAGCCAGCAATCGGCAAATCCCTGCTTTGCCGATCGCAGAAATTCCAGCTAGCAAGGGACCTCTTTGCCGAGTGTCGAAAAAAAAACAGTTGGCAAAGAAAATTGCGATCGGCAAAGAGCCGCTTCAGAGTGCACAAAGCAAAGGCCTTGCATGAGTCGTTATAGGACCTTTAGTCTCAGTTGGAGCTACCAACCGGGACTAAAGGTTTCTCTAGTTCTGGGCGCGAAAAATACCGAGACTACAGCTAAATTTCGAAGTGGATCAAAGATCGTTTCTCTACTAGTGACCCAAAATATTGATATATGCATGAAACTAAACACGTACTCGTCTCGTGTTTGAGGGCGGGTCATGGCACGGTCGTTTGCCCTCAAATTGCAATTTTTTTTTACATGGAATACCTTACTGTAAAATTCTGACGTACTCCGCCACCGAACATGGAGTACGTACTTGGTAAAAGTAGATGTACCATACTGGTATTTTGTTCTTATATTGGATATTAGTAGACAATCTGGAAATACAACAAGGCAAATCACCGATAGTAGCAGAAATTGAACAGGCTGATGGTAGAGATAAAAAGACAAAAGAATAAAACATCAAACCATGGATATCATCAGCTAACATGATTAGCTAGTGCCGGTGGAACCATATGCATATTTCAAATTAGGAGCCTGAGTCCTGACCAACAAATCACCACATGCGTGCAGCACAGCTAGTCCGGCCGGCCGGTGAACGCATGCAGCTATAGCATCCACTGACTGCGGTTTAATCGTTTCACAGATATAGTACAATATATGATCGATCGAACTTATTCCCGCACCTTTCACGTACGGATTTGCACCGCACTTGATGTACAAATTAATCATGGTTGCTATTCCGCACCGCACTTTCCCGCCCACTTCTCAGGATTGTGCACCGCACCTTTTAAACATCCTCAGCTCGTTCCTCACACCCACACAACATGCAAGGGCTCTCGCGGTCACTCAGAGCATGCATAATGGCCTCGGTGCTGGCACGCCAATCTCTTGCCCTAGCCTTGCTCGTCGCTGCATTTGCGGTTAACTGGTAGTATACCCAGCTGCTGATGGTGACATCAGCACCAATGCAAGTTTCTGGTCGCGAGGAATAAAGAGTTGATATCGTCTTGTTCCTTTTTGGTATCCATCATCAGGATAGGAAGCGACTGTGGTTGCTATTCCGCACCGCACTTTCCCGCCCACTTCTCAGGATTGTGCACCGCACCTTTTAAACATCCTCAGCTCGTTCCTCACACCCACACAACATGCAAGGGCTCTCGCGGTCACTCAGAGCATGCATAATGGCCTCGGTGCTGGCACGCCAATCTCTTGCCCTAGCCTTGCTCGTCGCTGCATTTGCGGTTAACTGGTAGTATACCCAGCTGCTGATGGTGACATCAGCACCAATGCAAGTTTCTGGTCGCGAGGAATAAAGAGTTGATATCGTCTTGTTCCTTTTTGGTATCCATCATCAGGATAGGAAGCGACTGTGCCAATGTGGGAGTCGTCTACTCGGCGAGGGGTTCAGCAGATACGGACCTCAGAATAAAGAGTACGTTGTCTTGTTGCTTTTTTGCCAATGTGGGAGTCGTCTACTCGGCGAGGGGTTCAGCAGATACGGACCTCAGAATAAAGAGTACGTTGTCTTGTTGCTTTTTCGTATCCATCATCGCATGGGAGAACAAAGGCGACAAAAATGCTATATATCCCGCACGGAACCCCCCACATCCTCATTTCCTCAATCCTCTCACACACACGAATTGAACTGAGAACAAGGGCTCTCGCAGTGCATGCATAATGGCCTCGGTGTTGGCACGCCAATCTGTTGCCCTAGCCCTGCTCGTCGCTGCCGTTTCGGTTACAGGTAGTATAACCAGCTGCTGATCTTTTTCTTCTTCTTCTTCTTCTTCTTCTTCTTCTTCTTCTTCTTCTTCTTCTTCTTATTATTATTATTATTATTATTATTATTATTATTATTATTATTATTATTATCTTCTTCTTCTTCTTCTTCTTCTTCCTCCTCCTCCTCCTCCTCTGCTGCTGCTGCTTATCTACTATGTCCCGGCCAGCTGTGCAGATCGAGCTAATGATGATTTCGTGTTTGATTGTGATCAGGTGTTGATTCCAAGTCGTTTAACATCACCAACAGCTGCGTGTACACGGTCTGGCCGGGGATCTCTTCTGGGCCCGGCTCGGCGGCGGCGGTGGACACCACGGGCTTTGAACTCGCGCCGGGCGAGTGGGAGATCGTGCCGGTGCAGTCCGGGTGGTCGGGCCGCGTCTGGGGCCGTACCCTCTGCAGCAACTCCACTGAAAACACTGGCAGGTTCACCTGCGTCACTGGCGACTGCGGCTCAGGCCGCCTGGACTGCGCGGGCGGCAACGCCGTGCCGCCGGTGACGCTCGCGCAGTTCACCATGGACGGGAGCGGGGCCATGGAATTCTACGACATCAGCCTCGTCGACGGATACAACCTGCCTATGCTGGTGACGCCGCCGCCGCAGGACGCGGCTCCTGCAGGCGGCAACTGCACGCCGGTGCGGTGCGTGGTGGACCTGAACGGTGAGTGCCCGGACGAGCTGCGCGTCGCGTCCGCTGCCGCGGCCGCGGCCACCGGCACCGGCGTCGTGGCGTGCAAGAGCGCGTGCCAGGCGTTCGGGTCGCCCCAGTACTGCTGCACCGGCGAGTACGGGAACCTCGACACCTGCATGCCGTCGGCCTACTCGCAGTTGTTCAAGAAGGCTTGCCCGCGGGCGTTCAGCTACGCTTACGACGGCGCCGACTCCATCTTCACGTGCGGCGCCGGCGCCGGGGAGAGCAACACCTTGACCTACACCATCACCTTCTGCCCCAGCACCAACAGGCAAGGTTTACAATTTTAGCGAAATTTCGCCGAAATTTCCGAAATATCGCCTTTTTCGCTAGGATCTGAAAATTTTTTATATCGGTCAAAATTTTTCGCTTAAATTCATCTTTATATTGCAAAATTACACCAAACCACACTAGAATGACACTTTGTATCCACTAACCTCACCAAAGCCCTAATTTTGTTAAAACTTAGTTTATTTCCTCACTTACATGTTCAGCATCACAAGCATATGTAGCTCGGCCACCGTTAGCCCGCCGTATTACCGCTGATCTACTTTTGTGATATATTGTGTTATTTCGTCGGTGTCATATAAATTTGTGATGTATAATGGATTGGAGAGTTTTTCTATTGAAATGACGTCAATTTTTTTTAAATCAATTTGAATTTACTTAAATTTGACTCGATATTTCTAAAATTCCCGAAATTTCGTATTTATCGCTGGCGACCAAATTTTGTTTTATACCAGTATTGTATACCCTGCCAACAGGTATACACTGGGCTCTTCTCTTGATGTGATCGGTAACCATGGTGTCACTAAAGCAAGAGTAGTGCGTCTCAGGCCACTGAGTCCTCTACTAGTGGATGCTCATCATGCAAAAAGTTTCCGTACGCACTTTTCTGCTTTAATTAGCTGCCGAGCACCGACTTCCTCGTTTCCTCCGATCGATGGCGCAATCCTTGCCCAATTAAAAGCGTTTTTTTAAGCTTGAGTCGGTTCATTCTCTCCCGACTACATCAGTCGTCTGTCGTCTTTCGGTTCATCAATACACAAACTCATGATATCAAAAAAAAATATATATAGTATATATAGTAAAAATATATTTTGTATGTACTAATTTAATTTTATAAAAGTTTTAATGATTTTTATAATTTAGTAAAGAAGTATATGATATATAGTAGAAAGTTGCCTGGTAGCGTAAATATACTTACTTAGGAGCCATTATTCTTGGGCTGGGCCATACAGCCATTGTGCCAAGATTCTAGATACATCTCAAAATATTTCGTAAGCATGCTCCGGATCGTGAAAAACATACTAAGACCTGCCCCACATAGCGCTGCTTTTGTATATATCTAATAAACTAGTTGATAATATGAATTAACCTTTTCTTTTGCAACTTTTGTGACTACATACAGCGCCAAGCCCTCCACCAGCCCCTACTCGCAGCCACCGTACCAGGGCGCGGGGAACCTGCCGCACATCGACGGCACCACGCCATACACCGGCGGCGGCCAGGTCGGCGGTGCTACGGCAGCTTCGACACCGTGGCGCATCGTCCTTGTCGTCGGAGTCTTGGGTGCCGTGACAGCCGCCTTGGTTGTGCTGGAAAAATTCTTGGGTCTCTTCAAGCTTTGCTTCAGCCAAAGACAAGGTGCAGGCGCGATTGGCTAACACCAGCTAATCGACGATCCAGATTGACACGTACGGAAGATGATATACTCCATATTTATATATAGAGTGAGTGTGTGTGTGTGTGTGTGTGTGTGTGTGTGTGTGTGTGTGTGTGTGTGAGAGAGAGAGAGAGAGAGAGAGAGAGAGAGAGAGAGAGTCAGCTGCGTGTTGAGATTTGCTTGCGTTGAGTGCCTAATTAAGTCAGGTTTATGCGTACGCTTTTTGCTTCCACTAGCGAGGGATTGAATAAAGCGTGTGTGTGAAATCCCCATCTATCTGTGATCAAGTCGATCATTTAGTGACTCGATCTGGCACAAGCACATGCAATCGCCACGCACGTACCCACACAACGAGCTTCGATCACCTCTTACATATAGTTTATCCTAAGAATCAATTTCAGCCACGTATCACTTTTCTAAGAGAATCACTACACACATAGAATAAGGAACAAAACGAGGTCTACCAAAAACGTCCTTATTACATCGTGCTTCAAATTGAGGAAAGTGGAGTTAAGGGAATAGAGACAAAACACTACCAAGTCTACAAATGCATTTTCTATTTCTATAAGAAAATATCTCGCCAGTCTCGTACTATACCTCTGTTTTGTATATGATATTAGCACAAAAGATCAAAGATAAAAAATTAAGTATACGCATAATAAACACAAAACTGATATGGCATGAAGCGAATGTGTAGGAAAGAATTCATGTTACCATACCGTTTCTAGCAAAAACTGCAGCATGCATGCAGTGCAGTTTGTCCATCTGGTCCGGCGTAGCTCGCCGGCGATTTCACACTACCTCACGAGATTCACTTATCAAGATGTCAACCATGTCAGCCAGGTTGGACACAACCGCCATGTACAGCGGGGACACCAACCTCCTCCAGTCGCCAGTTTTGCAGTTGCTTTTGATACCTTTTTTCCTTATTATGAGCCGACTATATTTTTCTAAGAATGATTCCACTGGTTGGTTGGCCACCAAGGATCCTGGGACACTTTCTGTCTGGTGTTATTTCTCATGCTGTGGAGATCAATTCGTTCTGACTTTTCCCTCTTTTCTTTTAATTCAGGTTTATGGTTTTGCATCTGTTTTTTTGATCAACCTGAACAAACAAACAAACAAACTGTTTATCTCTATTGTTACATAATATGCTAATTGTTAGTTGCAGCTGTGTTGTCGGAGCTTTTTTTTAGTATGTGTCCAAATAAATTAATACGAGCTCTGTTACTCTCTTTAATTTTGTATCCCAATCGTTGAACAATCAATCAATCACTACCGGAAACACGTGCTTTGCCGAGGGTCTGAGGCTTTGCTGAGGGCCAAATCTTGGACACTCGGCAAAGACACTCTTTGCCGAGGGCCAGACATAGGAACCCTCGGCAAAGAACGGCCCTCGGCAAAGACAGGCCCTCGGCAAAGATGCCCTCGGCAAATAAGGCCCGTTGGGTCACGGCGGCCATTCCCGTCAAGCTTTGCCGAGGGCTACCCATTAGGCCCTCGGCAAAGTTTTTTTTTCTGTGAAACCAGTTTTTCGGCAAAAATTTTTTATTAAAAATTCTTTGCCGAGGGCCCTAGACTAGGCCCTCGGCAAAGATTTTTTTTGAACTAGTTTCTCGGCCAAATTTTTTTTTTATAAATCGTCTTTGCCGAGGGCTCGAGGCGAGGCCCTCGGCAAAGATTTTTTTTTTTGTTTTTTTAGCCCAGTTTTTTTGTGGTGCTACAATACATTGTTTTGAACTCAATTTTAAAATTTGGGCCAATTTTGACTTTTTTTTGTATATTTCCTTAATTTATTTCGTTTCTTTGATTTTTTCAAATATGTCAAATTTGAACCGCAGGTGCATGGAATATTGCAATGTAGTGTTTCGAAAAATGTTATTCATGTTAATTGGTGCATGTTGAGTCCCTATTCACGAACTCGCATCAAATTTCATGCATCTTCTTCGCGTAACATGACGACCGACTTGCCGGAAAAGTGTTTTAAAATTATATAAAATCCATACGAAGTCCGAAAATCACGAAACTTGGCGAGATGTCATGTTATCGCATGTGTAGGCTGTGGTAAAAAATTGAGAAGGTTTCGAGCGAGTTGCAACGTCAGATGCCTGAAACCCAGACATCTCCACATCGCGCATCTTCTTCGCATAACATGACGACCGACTTGCCGGAAAAGTGTTTTAAAATTATATAAAATCCATATGAAGTTCGAAAATCACGAAACTTGGCGAGATGTCATGTTATCGCATGTGTAGGCTATGATAAAAAATTGAGAAGGTTTCGAGCGAGTTGCGACGTCGGATGCCTGAAACCCAGACATCTCCACATGTCGCGTAACATGACGACCGACTTACCGGAAAAGTGTTTTAAAATTATATAAAATTCATACGAAGTCAGAAAATCACGAAACTTGGCGAGATGTCATGTTATCGCATGTGCAGGCTGTGGTAAAAAATTGAGAAGGTTTCGACCGAGTTACGACGTCGGATGCCTGAAACACAGACATCTCCACATGTCCGCAACTCGCTCGAAACCTTCTCAATTTTTTACCACAGCCTACACATGCGATAACATGACATCTCGCCAAGTTTTGTGATTTTCGGACTTTGTATGGATTTTATATAATTTTAAAACACTTTTCCGGCAAGTCGGTCGTCATGTTACGCGAAGAAGATGCGCGAAATTTGATGCGAGTTCGTGGATAGGGACTCAACATGCACCAATTAACATGAATAACATTTTTCAAAACACTACATTGCAATATTCCATGCACCTGCAGTTCAAATTTGACATATTCGAAAAAATCAAAGAAACGAAATAAATTAAGGAAATATACAAAAAAGGTCAAAATTAGCCCAAATTTTAAAATAAAATTTTAAATAAAGTATTATAGCCCCACAAAAAAACTGGGTTCAATAAACCAAAAAAAATTACAAAGGGCTCTTTGCCGAGGGCCTGGCCCGTGGCCCCACCGCCGCCGCGCACCCCGCCGCCGCGCGCCCCGCCGCCCCACCAGCGCGCCGCCGCACCACGCCCAGTGGCGACCGAGGTCGTGCCCTACCTCCCTTCCCCGTCTCCATCGAGCAAGGGGAGGTCGGCCGCCCCGGCCGGCCCTCCGGCGGCCCTCACTCGCCGGCCTTCCCGCCCTGACCCCAGCCCCCAGTCCGCCCCCATCGCCGACTGCTGTTGGAGGGGAGGAGGTAGAGGGTGAAGTTGGAGGAAGAAGAGAAGGAGAAGAGGAGAAGGAGGAAGGGGAAGAAAAGGAGAAGAAGAGGAGAAGGAGGAAGGGGAAGAGAAGGAGAAGAAGAGGAAAAGGAGAGAAAAAAGGGAAGAGGGGGAGAGGAGTACTCCAACGCCGATCGACCTCGCCGGAGAAGAAAGTGACCCCTACACCGCGACGCTCGACTCCACCACAACCCTAGGTAAAACTCTCGTTGTCGGCCTTCGTGCCGTATGTGGTTGTGTGGGCCTTTGTGCCGTAAGTTGATATGAGGGCCTTCGTGCCGTTGTGGTTGTCGACCTTCGTGCCGTTGTGAATGTCGGCCATCATGTCGTTTTTTTGCAGGTTTTGGAAACCTCCCCGTGCAGGGAAGGTGCTGCCGAAATTTTGAACAAACAATAACC